CGACTCCTCCCATCAATATCAGGACCACCCCAGAGGGGTTGTGTCCATTAAAGTCTCCCAGAAGTAAAAAGGGAGATGGCAACTGATCAACGAGAGCATCAAGGTCTGATTGATCATAAGTCTCCCCAGGAGACAGGTAGAGAGAAGAAACAGTGATGGTACAACCCAAGGAAACACGGATGGCTATGGCCTCCAAGGGTGTATCGAGGGACACAGATAAGGAGGGCACATGCTGGTCGACAAGCAGTGCCACCCCTCCATGCACCCTCCCATAACACAACCTGTCATTCCGGTACAGAGAAAACTGCCAAAAGGTGACTGTATCGGCAGGTTTCAGGAATGTTTCCTGCAAGGATATACACAAACAGGATGATAAGAATCAATCAAGGCCTTAATGTCAGAGATTAGAATGAAAACCTTGACAGTTCCACTGTATCAAAGTGTATATTGTTATGTATGTTTAGGAGAATGTGGTGGGGAATCCTTCGGTTTACGACCACGCCATTTTCTTTACTAGAGGGAGGTCAATCGACCTCCATGGATCCTGCCCTTGATCGAGTGGGCAGATCTCTGTTATCAGTGTGAGAATCCAATGACTGAGGATGTGATCGAATGATTGTCCTGCTTTTAGGGGCCAAAGAAGGACACGCAAGGACACTGGAGGCTGGTGCCCGAGGAGGTTGACCCAGGCATTCACTGGAAGGAATAGTGGGGACAGAGATCAAAGTCGATGTAGACCTATCAACTCTATTAACCATGGAGGTCAGAAGACCTCTCACATGGCATGAAAAAAAGACTCAGATGGAGGCAAGGAAAGGTCCATCTGCACTCCCACTGTAGCAGTGGAGCGTAGTGCAGTGACATAGGTCCGAGATGGAGTGGGGAACAATAGCTTCCGAGCCTCTGGATAGGAAATGTTGTGAACAGCCTTCAAACGCTGTACCTCTTTCTCCTCCACCCACTTAGTGCAAGACCTAAAGTAAGAGGGGTGGGAACCATAACAATTAACACGGTGCAGGTCCAGTTTACATTCATAGGCATCGTGGTCCTTGCCACCACAAGGAGCACACGTCATAGAACCATGACAAGATGTCATTGAATGACCGAACCGCTGGCACTGGATGGCTGACATCGGAGAGGGTTGGGAATATAAGGCCGTACCTTATAGTTCAAATAACCTGCCTTAACAGTGGCTGGTGGACGTGGTGATGAAAATTTCAAAATGAGAACTGAGGTTGGCACCATAATACCATCCTGATGAGTGGAGATCCGTTGAACAGCTGAAACTCCTTGGTTGGAGAGACCAGCAAGGATCTCTGACTCGGGGATAGACTCTAAGTCCCTCTCAACAACAACTCCTCGTGATGAAGGAAGCATGGGGAGTAACCTCAATGGGTATATCCCCAATGACCCCTGAATTCAAGAGAAGTTCACTGTGCTTAGCTGTGGATGTTTCGACCAAGATGTCTCCAGAACGGAGTTTCTTAACTGACTTTGGAGAGCCAGCAAGCTCCTCTAAGCCCTTCTGACTAAAAAAGGGGACATTTGCCCTAAAGATTTATCATGTAGTGAATGTGAGAGCAGAAAGCGAGGTACAGGGTCACCTTGTGGTGGAGACTGCTGTGCAGAGTCTTCTAAGCATGGTCATTTACCAATAACCAGAGTTTTTACTATTTTTTCATTTGGATTGGGGGGATCCATAATTAAGAAAAAGGATTCAGTGCTCACTGACCCCACCCACCATGGAGTCCTACAAGGGGATGCACTACAATGTCAAACAAGGACACTGCAGCAACATCAGGGTTTCGTGAGCACTATACCCAAACACCAGCATCCGACACAATGTCCACAACACCCTTTGAGAACGCCCAACACTGGTACTCAGTTGACCCTAGCCCAAGTGGACCAGCCGATTGAACCTGGTGGGCCACCCGTCTACAGGAATTCAAGGCCAAAGTAGTA